TTTTCATTAGAACAGATTATTAGAGATACAATTATTGAGTCAATGTATGAACATTAAGGCTATTTGAGAATATAATCAAATTATTTTCCAAAAGAATTATATTAATTTATACCCCACCAGCAGTATACTAGAATTTTTTAGCTTCAGATGTATTAGCATTGAAAATGATCTTTTTGGAAAACTGCTGCTTATTACAGATGAAAAACTGTAACTGTTTTTGGACTACTTTTAACAAGTGGCCATTAATAATATTACAGCTGATTTTGTTAGTTGTGGCTACTGGTAAAGCAATGTTTTTGAAAGTCCATATTTATAGCCTATATGACACAATCATATTTTAGGAAGTGATTTTTTGGTTTAGTTTCCTTATCTGATAAGTAAGCAGGGAATCACAGAAGGGATATTTGCAGTCATTGAGTCCAACTTCCACCCACTGCAGGAATTTTTTCTATGATATGACAAAGGGCTTCCTAGCCTTGAACACTCCCAATAATGATAAACTCACTGTTGGGTGGTTCTTCAGATAATAAGACTTTTCCTGTAACTGAGATAATATCTATGAAAGTCCTTTGATAAAATTAAAAGGATGTTCTGTAAATTCAAAATTTTTCTAATTCATAGATCAAATTATCCCACTTGTTTTTAAAATGGTGCCCAACTATCATGAAATGATCTTCCATTTAAGTAGTATTTTATTATTTTAAAAATACTTTTTCATACTTCAATTATGTTTAGTGATTTTAACAAGAGTTTTAGTATTCTGGTATACTCCATGCTTTTGTTATCTATTTATTTAAAAAATACTTTATTCATTTATTTGAGAGAGAACATGGAGGGGCAGATGGGGAGGGAGAGACACAAGCAGACTTTGTGCTGGTTGTGGAGCCTGAGATAGGGCTAGATCTCAGGACCCTGAAATCATGACCTGAACTGACATCAAGAGTCTGCTGCTCGGGGCGCCTGGGTGGCTCAGTGGGTTAAAGCTTCTGCCTTCGACTCAGGTCATGATCTCAGGGTCTTGGGATTGAGGCCCGCATCAGGGTCTCTGCTCTGCGGGGACCCTGCTTCCTCCTCTCTCCCTGCCTGCCTCTCTTGCCTACTTGTGATCTCTGTCTGTCAAATAAAATGTTTAAAAAAAAAAAAAAAGAGTCTGCTGCTCAACCAACTGAGCCACCCAGGCATCCCACTATGCTTTTTAAATACCAAACCCTTAGCATCATTGTTGTCATAATTCTGTTATTCTGGTATTTTAAAAAAATCAAAATTATTCATATAACTACTTAATTTATGAAAAAAAGACACAATATGTGGACTATTATAAGTCTAGACATGTCCTTAGTTATTGTGCACATAACAAAAAAGAAACCAAAGAGTGTTATTGATAAGATTGTTAAAAGGATAGTTTTTAGTCCAAAATAAAGAATTTCTTGTCCAGTAGAATACAAATATCATGGTACTGAAATTGAAATAGATAACTCTGCTTTGGAATGTCTAGCTGCACATGATAAAACAAATGAAGATGATGAAACCAGAAATAATTTCTTCGACACAAAACTACATAGCACTTCATAAATTTAAAAAATCTAATCTGAATAAAAAAATCAAAAGGTGTTTTATAAATATCTCCACAAGATTATCAAGAGATGAAATTATTCAAAAGATATCAAGGAAATATTGGGAAGTAGCCCTTAATCCTCACTATTTTTCTGACTAGTGTAGTATCTGAAAGTTTTTTAGTTGGAAAATCATGCTGAAAATTATGCTCTTCACCCAACAATAGCACCAAATGATGATGCATCTTAATTTTTAAGATCACATCTTCAGAGGAAGATCAAATAACATTTCATTAAAATTTATCTGCTAATTTATTAAAATATTAGCATATTTAATATTTGTTTTCTTTAATAACAGCTTTATTGAGGTACAAATCATATAACGTGCACTAACTCATTTAAAGTGCTCAATGTTTTTTAGTATTCTACAGTTGTGCAACCATCACCACAATTAATTTTAAAACATTTTCATCACACCCCAAAAAGAAACCTTGTACACATTAACGGTCATTTCCCATCACTCACCCTTCCCCCTGCCCCAGCAGCCTTTGGCAAGTACTACTAACCTACTTTTGTCTGTATGGATTTGCCTATTCTGCACCTTTCATATAAATGGAATTATACAATATATGATCTCTTGTGACTGGCTTCTTTCAATTAGAATAATATTTTCAAGGTCCATCCAAGTTGTAGCAAATGTCAGTACTTCCTTTTTTCTTATTGCTGAGTAATACCCCATTGTTTGGATATACCACATTTTGCTTATCTATTTATCAGTTGATGGACATTTGGATTGTTTCTACTTTTTAGTTATCATGAATAATGGTGCTATAAACACTTGTAAACACATTTTTATGTAGACATAAATTTTCATTACGTAGACCTACCTAGTACGTAGACATAGGTTTCATCTAGGGTATATACCTGGGAGTGGAATTGCTGGGCCATATGGTAAATTTGTTTCAAAGTGGCTGTGTCAGTTTACATTCCCATAAGCAGTATATGAGGGCTCCAATTTCTCCACATCCTTGCTTTTATTCACCATCATCTGCCTTTTTTGTAGCAACATTTGTTTTTATAAATGACACTGATATTTTATAATATATTAGACATCAAAATTTTGAACTATATTAAGTGTTGTTTACTGATATTTTGCTTTATGAATTCTAAACTCTTTTTAAAAACACTGATATTAATACATATTTCAGTATTAAAGTTAAAATCCCAAGCTATCATTTTTATACTAGTTATTTCAATAAATAATTGCATTTTCTTATAACAATTCACATGATACATTATCTTTAAACCTCAGAACTAGGCAAAACTTCTCTTGTATTTTCCTTCTACGAAAAAAATGAGAGCTGTATAATTCATTCATTCTTTGTGCTTATTTCTAGAAATCTTAAAAGCTAGAGCTTTTTTTAGTTGGGAATTCTCACAAGACAATACTGTTATCCGTTATGATCATTGTTTTTATACCTCTACATTTAGTAAAAGCTAACACAATCCTTTTTAGAAATAGGGTATAAAAAAGTAAACGAATAAATATGCAGTAAGTATCCTTGATCTCCACAGAAATTTATTCCCAATTCTATAAATGATGAAAGTGAGGCAATGAAAAGTAAAAGTGACTTACTCAATCTCAGAAGCTTAGAGGTGGCAAGCTGGTAGACAGTCCCCCTACCAGTTCTTTAAGCTACCCCATCCCTCTGTTTAAGACGGGCCTTTTCTGCCATTGGAAAGTATCCCAGAGTAGCTCCTGCAGAGCTAATGCTTGAACATGACAGATTCACCATAAAAAGAACTTCAACTAATATCCTGTCCTAGTGATGGCGATAAATTTAAATATTCCAAATCCAATCCCCACAATGGCTTGCTCTGTATGATAGAAATAAATTTATTTTTCAGTGTTGACTCTGTGATGATAATTATGAAAATTTAAGTAATCAGTTTGTTACTAATGCTAAAAGAGATTGTATAAGATTTAAAAATCTATTATTTGTTTAATAATATGGGTTATGGTATCTGATCTCTGCAGTTAGCTTAAGGACAGGGGGGATGGGGCGCCTGTGTGGCTCAGCTGGTTAAGCATCTACCTTCAGCTAAGGTCATGATCCTGGAGGCCCAGAATCAGGCCCCACATCAGGGTCGCTGCTCAGTAAGGGATCTGCTTCTCCCTCACCCCTCTCTCACTAACTCTCTCCCTCAAAAAAAAAAAAAAAAAAAAAAAAAAAAGAGAGCAGGGGAGATATTTCCAAACAGTTCCTGTTTGGAATAATTTATAGAAAGTTACTTTGTATTTTCTGTATTACTTTATAAAGTCACATAAAAGAATTGTCTACATGAAATTTGTGAACGCTTCCTTAAAGAAAGTGAGTATCTATAAAAGTTATTATAGAAATGCATTTAGTATTCATTACTGTTGATATTGAATAGGAGTTTTAGTTCCAGATATAAGGTGAGAATACCATTAGTGGGAAACTAAGGTAGCTGTGAGTTATTTCTAGAAATATAAAGTCCCAATAATTTTACTTATTAAGTTGGGCAAATAAATCATAGGTATGTTCCAAACCTAGGTAAAAGTTATAAAACAACCTAAACATATATAGAAAAATACAATAAACTGTATTAATCCCTTAAACAAACCTCTCTCTCCTCTCCTCAGTCTATCTCCACATTGAGGCTTAAGTATTGTGAAGGCTTGTATGTATGGTCTAAAGAATTATGCCATCACTATGAATTAAGAAACATCATAAAATGATTTAAATCACTATGTGCTAAGTAGTAGGACCTTGTAGTTGAATAAATATTGGTTTTCTAGCAAAGTACAGACCTTAGAGGTTGTATCATTTGCTGCCATCATTTTATAGATGTGGGACATAAAGATGAGAAAGTGGAACCTGTCCAAGATCTCCTAAGTTCATGGCAGGTTGGGAATTATAACCAAGCTGATTACTGATTGAAGGCTATTTCCATAACACCATCATAGTTCAAATCAAAGTTTAAAGTCCATCTGATTTGTAGTTTTGTTTAAACCGTAAGTTTAAAAGACCTGAACATGATATGGCCTATAACAGCAAAATGTTTTCATGAATTCACATTATTCACATTTCTAGTCAACTAGAAACCAAATATAATACAACAATGTTACTATCAGCATAGATTATGGATATATTATTAAAAGTAAGTTTAATAGTGCCAACCTTCAGGCTTTCTAGGATATTTTTAAAATCATAGGCAATGCTATTAGATATTTTAAGATCACTTAGAAAATTACTTTCATACAGACAAAGGAATAAACTTCTGGAAAAGGAGCTAAAAAGAAGTTTGATAGCTCTTTCTTACCTATTTCATTCCCTGAAAAATGAGTTAAACATTAACTTCACAAGTTGAATATTACAGATGAAAATAGGAAAGAAATAGAAATCCACCCAGTTTTAGAATTACAGATTGAGTTTTGGAAGATGGTTTGATCTTGTAATCTTTTTTACTGGTCCTCTCTTGGCATTCATTGTCTTTTGGTTAACTGGTTTATATCTTCCCCTGAAATAAAACAAGTGTTAATCATTATTTTAAAGTCATCATTGTGTATCACAAAAACATATGCTTATAGTACCATCGTAAACAGCCATATGTTATACCATAATATCTCATTACAGATAGAGAGGAAACCAACTCAAGGGCAGATAATCCAAAAGCCAGGAAGGAGTCCATGAAGTGTCCTAATGTAGAAAGCTCTGACCAAGAGGCATAAGAGGGGCCATTCTGATATTGTCTCTGGAAATATGAATTAAAGCTAAGAAAATAGAGAGAAGCCATTAAGTAGGGCAGGGAGAATAAAGAAATAAGATTCATGAGTAACCCAAAGGTATGTTACCTAAAATTATAATAAAATTGAAACTAAGATATACCAAGGTTTGTAATATTAAAAAGATATAGAGTGTGAAGATGGCAGTTGGTAATGAGAAGAAAAGTGAAGTAGAAGACTGAACTAGTTGAAATAACAGCAACAGTTTTAAAGCACATAAGTTATATCAGGAACTATTCTAAATTCTATTTATTAATTGATTCATATCAGCCTCACAAAATCCCTATGATGTATGTTTGATTATTAGCCCTGTTAGATAGGTGAGAAAACAAGGTTATATAGTTTGTAAGTGGATCTAGAATTTGAATCCAGAAAGGCTGAGTTCAATGTCTATGCCTTTAACTACTTTTCTGTATGGCAGACAATTAAAGTGAAGAACTATGAAGTTCTGCTCAGACTTTTAAAGCTTCCTTGACCTCTAGTTTTAATATTTGTGGGCCCAGTTATATTGGAATTCCTGTTCTTGGATTTCCATGGGGCCATTCACAAGTACTGGAATAGCTTAAAAAAAAAGGACAATAACAAATGTTGATAAAGATGTGGAGAAATTGGAACCTTCATACATTGCTAGTGGGAATATAAAATGGTGCAGTTGCTCTGCAAAATAGTTTGGCAGTTCCTTAAAAAGATAAAACAGCTATCAATTGACTCAGCAATTCCATTCCAAGGCATATATCCAACAGAATTAAAAACATATATGCACAAAACCTCATTTAAGAATGTTCATAGCAGCATTATTCAGAACAGTCAAAAGGTATAAACAACCCAAATGTCCATCAACTGATTAATGGACAAACAAAATGTGACAGATCTAAGAACTGGAATGTTATTCAGCCACAAAAAGTAATAAAGTACTGATATATGCTCCTACATGAATGAATGTTGAAAAATTATGCTAAGTGACAAAGTTAGGCACATAAGAACACATACTGTTTGCTTCCATTTATATGAAATAACAAGAAGAAATAAATCTATAGAGACAGAAAGTAGATTAGTGATTGCCAGAGGCTGGGGTGAGGGAGGAATGGAGAGTGATGCTAATGGGTAAAAGGGTTTTGGGGAGAGATGAAAATGTTCTTTTAAGCATATAGTGGTGATGGCTGTGCAACATTGTGTATATACCAAAAAGCAATGAGTTTCACTTTAAAAGGGTAAATTTTGGATAAGAACATGTAGAAGAATAAAACTGGACCACTTTCTTACACCATACACAAAAATAAATTAAAAAATGGAATGAAAGACCTAAACATGAGACGGGAATCCATCAAAGTCCTAGAGGAGAACACAGACAGCAATCTCTTTGACCTCAGCCATAGTAGCTTCTGCCAGACGTATCTCCACAGACAAGGGAAACAAAAACAAAAATGAATTATTAGGGTTTCATCAAGATAAAGAGCTTCTGGGCGCCTGGGTGGCTCAGTGGGTTAAGCCTCTGCCTTCCGCTCAGGTCATGATCCCAGGGTCCTGGGATCGAGGCCCGCATTGGGCTCTCTGCTCAGCAGGGAGCCTGCTTCCTCCTCTCTCTCTCTCTGTCTGCTTCTCTGCCTACTTGTGATCTCTGTCTGTCAAATAAATAAATAAAATCTTAAAAAAAAAGATAAAAATCTTCGGCACAGCAAAGGAAACAATCCACAATACTAAAAGGCAACCTGTAGAATGGAAGAAGACACTTAAAAATGACAGATTGGATAAAGAGCTAGTATCCAAAATCTATAAAGAACTTATCAAACTCAACACCTAAAAAACAAATCATACAGTTAAGACAGGAATAGACATTTCTCCAAAGAAGACATACAAATGGCTAACAGACACATAAAAAAATGCTCAACATCACTGATCATTAGGGAAATACAAATCAAAACCACGAGATTCCACCTCACACCAGTCAGAATGGCTAAAATTATCAACTCAGGAAATAACAGACATCGGTGAGGATACAGCTAAAAGGGAACCCTCTTGGATTGTGGAGGGAATGCAAACAGGTGCAGCCACTCTAGAAAGCAGTATGGAGGTTCCTTAAAAAGCTAAAAATACAACTACCCTTCAATGCAGCAATTGTACTATAAGGTATTTATCTAAAGGATACAAAAATAGTGATTCAAAGCACCACAAGCACTTCAATGTTTATAGCAGCACTAGCCACAATAGCCAAAACATGGAAAGAGCCCAAATGTTCATCAACTTATCACTGGGTAAAGAAAATGTGGTATATATATATATATATATATATATAATAGAATATTACTCAGCCATTAAAAAGAATTAAATCTTACCATTTGCAATGATGTGGATGGAACTAGAGAGTAGTATACTAAGCCAAATAAGTCAGTCTGAGAAAGACAAATACCATATGATTTCACTCATATGTGGAATTTAAGAAATGAAACAGATAAACATAGGGTAAGGGAAGGAAAAGTAAAATAAAGACAGACAGGGAGGCAAACCATAAGAGACTCTTAACTATAGGGAACAAAATGAAGGTTGCTGGAGGGGAAGTGTGTAGGGGGATAGGGTAATTGGGTGACGGGCATTAAGGAGGGCATTTGATGTAATGAGCACTGGATATTATACGGAACTGATGAATCACTAAATTCTACCCCTGAAACTAATAGCACACTATATGTGAACTAATCTGAATTTAAATAAAATCTTGAAAGAAAAAAAAGGGTAAATTTTGGGTTATGTCGATTATAACTCAATATAAATATTTTAAATGTATTTTGGGAACAAACCATTTCCTGTGCAAAGAGTTTCCTTAATCAAATAACAATGTTTTAGAATAATTTCATCTTCTGGTGTAATACAGAATTAACCACAAGCATTCAATTATATCATATTCAATTAAAAGCTCATTCTAGATATTTATTGTTTACTATACTAAATGCTTTTATATTATGTTTAGGGTATTTTAAATAGTTTCCTTAATATCAATCAGTTCTATAAGATCTAACTGACATGATTATGACACGAATCATCAAAGTGAGGTACATAACTCTAAAAATGTTTAATTTCCTAGACCTCTTTTAGAACAGTGTTTTTCGAACTACAGAATGCAACTCAATAGTAGATTGATTTAGTGAATTATAACAGCGGTATAAAAAAATAGGACAAAATAGAAAATACCAGCATGCATCACACATAATAAGGCTAAGTACTGTTTCATAATATTTTTCAGTTATATATGAAAATATATATGGGTATCCTGAGTCACAATATGCTATCAGTCATGGTCAACAACATTTGGAAACAATTTTCCATTCCTGGAAATGGAACCATTTCCATTCCATTCCATTCATGTATGTAGTTTTTACATACATGATAGTAGCTAAGACCCTTGGCAAGATTATGCTAGCTTAACAGTGTTGTAGCTTTGTCTCTGCAGTTTCAAATTATTGTCATATGTTTTATCTCTTCCCACAAATAAATTCTTTGTTACTTTATTAATTCTTTATATTCAACAAAATACTATACATTGTAGAGGAATAATAATAGCTGATATTTACTGAACTAGGGATTTTTCAATGATCTCTAATTCTCATATTAACCATTTAATTTGGATTTTGTCATCCCCATTTTAAAGGTGAGTAAACTGAATTTGAAGGAGGTTACTTACATAAAGCCACATTAAATAATAAGTGACAGAGGCCAAAATTGATTCATCTGTCTGCTCCAAACACAGTGCAAATTTTCATTTACCACCTTACTTTTACCACACTCACTATTTTTAAAAATATCAGACTGCATTACCTACACAAATATTTACACATGTATTTTGACTTGAGGTATTCTATAGTCATTCTAATAGATGAACTTTCTCTATTTTTCTCTTTTATTGAATATTTATGCTTTTATCTTTTTTAATTTTTCTTTTTTCCTTTTTTTTTTAATTTTAAAGTAGACTCTACACCCAATGTGGGGTTTGAACTAATAACCCCAAGATCAAGTGTTGCACGCTTCACCAGTGAACCAGCCAGGTACCTCTTGATTTTTGTCCTTTTTTTTCTTTTTAAAGATTTTATTTATTTGAGAGAGAGAGAGAGAGCATGCATGAGTTGGGGGAAGGGAAGAGACAGAGGGAGAAGCAGACTCTATAGTACTATATGTAATAGATAATATTCAGTATCCCTCTTTGAAAGATTTCTTTTAATAGTATATCACAGTCAAATTGGTATTTTCTTTTTTTCTTTCCTTCCTCCCTTCCTTCCTTCCTTCTTTCCCACCTTCCAACTTTCTTTCAAGAGAAGGAAAAAGAGAATGAAGAGGGTGTGCATGGGTGGGGTGGGGGTAAGGGCAGAGAGAGGGGGAGAGAGAATTTTAAGCAGGCTCCATGCCCAGTGCATAGTCCAATGCGAGGCTTAATCTCATGAACCTGAGATCATGATCTGAGCTAAAATAAAGAGTCGGACACTCAACCGACTGAGCCACCCAGGTACCCCGTTATGGGTATTTTCTAATGCTCTCGTTTATTCTGAGCATTAGGAAAACTCCAAAAGTCAGTATTTAACATTAGCATATGTAAGAATATCAACCAAAGGAAACCTTAAAAGCTACTAAAAATTGATTTCTAAAACACCACTTTAAGTATAACACATAATAGAAGAGTGCACAAAATAGATATGTAAGTGCCATGAATTATAATAATGCAAATACTCATATAACCACCACCCAGGTCAACAGAACAGATCATTGCCATCACAGTGGAAGACCTTGTGCTCCTCCCAATTATCATTCCCCTTCTCCTTCCCATTGGTAACCACTGTCCTCTCTTCTGACACCACAGTTTAGTTGTGCCTGTCTTTGAACATCATATAAATAGAATCATATTATATGTATTCTTTTATTTCTGGCCTCTCTTTCCCAAAACCCTAATAATTATCCATGATGTTGTGTGAGCTGTAATTTATTTTTATTATTGTTATTATTCATATATATATAATATATTCATGTTACTATTCATAAATATATGAATATTTGTTTTTATATAAGAATAATATATATTATGAATACATATCTCTTAAAAATTTTATCCGATCTACTACTGATAAATATTTGAGTTCAGTTTATGGCTGTTATGAATAAAGCTGTTATGAACGTTCTTGCACAGGTTTTTTTGGTGTAATATATGCACCATTCTGTTAGGTGTACAACTAAGAGTGTAATTGTTGGGTTATAGAGTAGGTGTATGATCAGCTAAGTGTAGAAAGTAATACTAAACCCTATTCCAAAATGGTTGCATAAATTTACACTTCATATCTTTGACAACACTTGGAATCACCAACCTTTAAAATCTGTAGTGGCCTCTCATAATTTTAACTCGCATTCCACTGAATAAGTAATGGTGTTGAGTCCATTGGCCATTAGGATATCCTCCCCTGTGAGGTTCTTAACACTAAAACTTGGTTTAAAGACTAAAACTTGAATCAAAAAGTATACTAAATTCCAAAGTTGAGGCAATAACTCAGAACAACAATGCTTTAAAGTAGTACCAATTACATATACCTAATTTAGAAGATTATAGGTATATAGAAATGTTTCTATCATTTGAGTTATTTGGTTTATTATATTTCCAGAAAGTGAAGAATTTTTTTCCTATTTGTATGACCATTTATTCACTCATACATTCATTAAAAAATTGGTAAACATTTATTTATGCCAGGCACTGTATTCAACATTAGGCTCTACCAGAGATGGAAGAGCCCTGTATGAGATGGGGCATGTGCATTGCCAGAGGGCACAGACAAGCTTACTGAGCAGGTATCCCAGACCATGTCATCCACCTCCAATGCATCAGTACCTGCAGCTCAGTTCAGACCTATGGTGCGGAGGTCCCCAAAGAGAAACTGATCATCAGGATGATATAGCGAGGGGCAAGGAGGAATGGGTTTGATATCCAGGTCATCTACTTGAGTGTCTTTTAGTACCACCTTGTCCAATTTGACAGTTAAGTGGATGAGAAACATTTATACATGGCCTGGAAAGAATGTGACAAACATGGTTCCAATTCTCACAATAGGTCACCCCATCAGAAGAAGAGAAAGTCTACACTTCATTTACTGATAAATCAGCTTGATACACGAGACTGTAGCCCTATTCTCTATGCCCAAATCTATTTCTTTCCCTTCCCCTCAAGGTACTCATTTTAAGAATGCTCATGAATAAACTTCCTATGTGCTGATTTCCATTTCAGAGTCTACTCTCTGAGAGATCTAACCTACAACAGTATCAGTGGAAAACTGAACTGCCCTAATAGACCTATAGTCTAGTGATATAGATGTGTATAGAATGTGTATATAGATGAATAGAATGAGTTTTATTTGTATTTTCAAAATATTTCTCTATCATTTAAGCAAATTTGAATAAAAGAAGTATTATCTTTCTAAAAGATAATTGGAAGATAAATGTAAAAATAAAAAAGAAATATGGATTGGAAGATAAATGGTAAAAATAAAAAAAAATATATGTAGGGTGATCATGCAGAAAGAGTTACTGTAGCAGGTCTGAAACTTCTCTCCTTAGAAAGGCCTTCTTGCCAGGCTGGCCTTTGGCTGATGTCTGGGAACTTAGTGGTAAAAAGTTCCCTACACTGATAGAAAGCTTTCCTTAAATGAAAAAGAATGGCTTACTGTACTTAAACTGTACAAAAAATGTGGTTTCTGTGAACATGTTTTCCTTCTGGAAGTCTGGAATTTGTTATGTGCTAAGTAAGCAGAGGGTACCTACATGACTGGACCCAGGAAAAAATGTGGGCACTAAGTATCTAATGAATTTCCTCAGAAGATAAAATTTCATGTGTTGTCACACATGTTCCCTGACCTATGGCTGGAGGAATGAAGTGTGTCCTCTGTGACCGCACTACAGGACTTCTAGAAGCTTGTACCTAGTTTCCTCCAAACTTCCCCATACACCTTTTTCCTCTGATGCATTTTCTTTGTATCCTTTGGCTGCAATACATTTTAGCTGTATGCACAAATATATGCTGAGTCTTGTGAGTTGTTCTAGCAAATCACTGAATACGGGACTGGTCTTGAGGCTCCCCAGCACAGAGGTATAATATTTTTCATAGGGAAGTCATTTTCCAGAATTTAATGCTTTAACTACATTATATTTCTGTTGATATAAATGTATAGGATAATAAGTTATAACTTATAATATTTATGACTACTCAAGGAAGAATACACTTTTATCCATCTAGCCACATATTGGACAAAATGTTCCTATCCCATGAATCTCTACCAAAAACAGTTGCTATATTGCATATATCTTGAATGCCTGTATTTCAAAAGAATTCTGATTGATAGCTAAGTTATATCCTGGTTTACTTTTTTAGTATTGTTAAGTTATATATGAATATATTCCCCTACATAGAAAAGGTTATATAAGACAAGAATTGCCTGACAAATTATTCTGTACTTAGTACAGAACAGGAAAAATTATGTGTAGACATAACCTCCTAAACCCATAAAACATTCCTCTCTTCTTTATTCATCCTAAATTATTTTTGTTTGCATTGGAAAACGCAGTTTAAACTGCACTATTTTCTTACACTAATTTCATTGTCAATATTTTGTCAGTAAAAAAGTTAAGGCTGGTAGTTTAATTGTATTTATGTTGTTCATGGTATAGATTTAGGCTCCTCTTGGGTAGGGTATTGTTTTAGCCTAGAAAATAAGAACTTGTCATGTTGGAAGACAAAACATATTCTTGGGATCTACAAAAATGTATATAAGTAGTGAGTAGAGAGCACAAATTTCTTTAGGTTCTCTTACCATCTGTTTGTTATTTTATATCATTGCTATAAAATCTAGAAGTTCAACTTCCAAAATATAATGGACACCTGTTTTGTCAGTATCATTCACATGCAAGTAGAATTAATTAGAAAGGAAAGATATAGTTAGACTTACATTTTCACTAGATTCTCTTTCATTCTAGGCAGTTGATCCATCTGTTGCCTTTTAAAAACTTGGTATGAGTCAGAGACCTGAAATACAAACATTTGAGAATTTGTTCTCTTATTTCATGACTGATTTTGGAGATAAGAGGAACAGTCCATTCTCAACTAACTCTTTTATAACCAGGCCCTTAAGTGGTATGCATAAGAGAAGCTAAAGAATAATGGGAAATTCTGGCTTTCTCCAGTATTTTTTTTTAAGATTTTATTTATTTATTTGACAGAGCGAGAGAGAGAGATCACAAGTAGGCAGAGAGGCAGGCAGAGAGAGAGGGGGAGCAGGCTCCCCGCCAAGCAGAGAGCCTGATGTGGGGCTCGATCCCAGGACCCTGAGATCATGACCTGAGCCGAAAGCAGAGGCTCAACCCACTGAGCCACCCAGGCACCCCAGCTTTCTCCAGTATTAAAAGCTTTCTAAAGATTATGTAAACTCCTTCATCTCAACCCCACATTCCATGTGATTTTTAAAATAAATATAGAGGAAATTTTGATAATCATATCATCTTTGTGGCATAAAGAACATTAAAAGTTTTTGTAATAGATACTGAATATAAATAATATGTATGTTCTCTCATTAAGAAAGACATAACAATAGCAGCTGTATGTATATTGAAATGTAAAAACAAGATCATATTTTCATTCTTGTCTGTTTTGAGATACTTCTGTGATACAAAAGTGGAGACTTCCTATAAATGGTGTAAATAAAATTTCCAGTACAGGAAGAGTTGAGGCTGGTGACCCTAGAGACGACAATTGAAGACATGAGTAAATGAGATCACTCTGTAAGAATACACAGAGAAGTAAGAGAGTTGAGGACATAAACTTGAGAAAGCAACTTTTAAGGGGCAGGAGAATTACTAAAGGCCATAATAGGATAGGAATAGGAAAACCCAGGGAAAAAATACTTCATGGAAGTCAAGAGGTGGGTGATATTCAAAAAGTGAGCATGGTTAACAATATGAAATTCCTAAGAGATGTCTACACTACCAGGAGGCTTGAAAAGGAGTCATTATGTTTGGCTATTAAAAAGTAAACTGTGCCAGAGCCCAGTGCTGGGGGTCAGAAAGTTGAAAGAGGTCAAAGATTAAAAGCAAGGCAGTGAGTATATCCACCCTTGCATGAAGTTTGACTGAGAAAAGGAAAGCTGAGGTAGTAGTTTTATTAAGAGGGGATAAAATAAAAGTTGGTTCCTCTTTTATTTTGGTGGAAGGGATGAGCATCTTTGTGAAGATGTTAGAGCATCTTTGCTAAGTGGGACAATTTTGGGCACACTGGACCAGAAGATGGAATTCATTCATTTATTCACTCAGCAAACACTAGTGAGCATCCACTAGGTGCCACCTCTAGTTTAGCAGCAGGGCACAAAGAAAAGTCATAGTTCTTACAATCTATTGGAGCATGATAAATAGATTGTACAATTCACTGCTTTGGCAGAGGTTTGCACAGGTGCTTTGTAAGCATAAAGCCGATGCTAGTTCAAGCCATCAGAGGCCTGGAAGAGTAGCCAATTAAGAGCTAAGGAAAGGACATTCCAGGCAGAAAAAACAGGAATGAGACAGCACGGCATATGCAGAGACCACATATATCATTGGTTTGGCTGCAGTACAGGGTGTGAGCATGGTCACAGCTGGAAAGGCAGGCACTGGGTGTTGGAAAGGACCTTGGAGACTACACTGAACTTTGTTGAAATCCCCTGGACAATGCAAAGTCATTGACGGCTTTAAATAGGGAACGTCACTGGGGTGCCTGGGTTGCTGAGTCAGTTAAGTGTCCAACTCCTGATTTTGACTCAGGTCATGATCTCAGGGTCCCTGGAATCCAGCCCCAAGTCAGCTCCATGCTCAGTAGGGAGCCTGCTTAGGAATTCTCTCTCTCTCTCTCTACTCCTCTCTCCCTCAAATAAATACATAAACCTTTAAAAAAAATAGGGAACAACACCATATCTATATTTCAGAATGATTGCTCAGGCAGCAGAGGAAAAAAAAAATTGAGTATGGTGAGGGCAAGATTTTAATAGCTATGCTGTTTAGATTATATTTAAAATCTAGATTTAAATCTGGGGAACTCTAGTGTTCCTGGGTGGCTCAGTCAGTTTAGCGTCTGCCTTTGGCTTGGATCATGATCCTAGAATCCCCGGATCAAGCCCCCCATCTGAAGCCCTGTTCGTCAAGAAGTCTGCTTCTCCTTCTGCCCCTCACCCTGCTCATGCTCTCTCTCTCTCTTTCCCACTCTCTCTCAAATAAATAAAATCTTTTAAAAAGAAAATAAAAATAAATCTGGGGAACTCTATTTTCAAACAAACAATAATAAAATAGAGTTGTCCAAAAAGAGAACAGAAACAGCTGGATAGTCTGGAATCTATGATGTAAGGAATTGCTAGTGTAACTTCTGTGGTAATTTAATATTTTAGCTTAGGGAAAAAAAACTATGGAAACACTTAAGAGTTGGTTTCATATCTTTGAGAAGCTGTCACATAGGAGATGTATAGAATTGTTCTGTGTTCTTCAGAGGAAGAAACCAAAACAAATATGTTTTAAGGAAGGAGAATAAGGAGCATCACATGATGCTTTAACAATTCTAATAATTAGAATTGCCTGACAATGAAACAGAACAGCCTCAGGTTCATTATCTGTAAACCAAAACATTATATTCAACAATATCTCAGATCTACTGACAAAGTTCTATGTTTATGGAAACAGAACTTAAGTTTATTGTGTTACAAGTTCTAGGTAGCCTTTCTGCCTGACTTTAATGCAATAAACCTATATATCTTAAAACTCAATGTCTGTACTGTATACATACTGCATAAATCAGAAAACCCCTGAGATATGGAAACACACAATTTCATTCAAAACAGTGAAGACAGCAGAAGTATAAACAGCAGTCTCAGCAAAGAGCTCTAGTTATCTACCTAAGAATCAATTATTTATGTATTCAGCATGGAAAGAACTGCAGATCATCTGTTGACCTTTCTGGTCACCCTAATATCCACATGGTCAGAACCATCTTTGACTACAAAGATTAACAATTCATTCTAGAGTGAAAATCCTTATTAACATTTATACTGGGGAACAGGATTAACATCTTTCTGGGAAGCTGTTAAAATAGGCTTTGATTATATGCTGAGTGATCCTGTATAATCAGAGTAGAACCTATCCCACCTAAGTGAATTTTTCAGACAAACAAAGGCAAAGGAGGAAGGCTGAGGCAACTAGAAATTCTAATGCCCCTGTCACAGAGAGAGAGGCTAGGGAGATCAGGAAAAAAACAAAACAAAGCAAAACAAAAAACAGGAAAATAATGTTCACCATTTCCTAGAATTTAGAACATATTTATGGGCTAGGCACTTTACTCAGCACTTTACATACATTACATCTCTAAATGCTCACAAATCCCCTGCAAGACAATACTATTATTTCCCATTCTATCAAAAAGGAAAGAAATTAGGTCCCAAAAGGTCACATTACAATTAAGTACCAAGCTGGGATTTAAATCCAAATTTAAATGACTCCAAAATCTGTGGTCTTTCCTCAAATCACGTCTTGTAAAGCAGTTAGCATTTATGCTAGAACCGGAAGGAAGCAGAATTAGCATGTATGAAAAGCAGCAAATTCCAGGCGCAGTCATGGTCTGAGGAAAGGCATGAGGGTGCGTGTGCTGCAGGAGTAAGCAGTGATGCCAACGGAGTATCCAGGAACCATCAAGTGTGAACTGACTGTTTTACAAGTAAGAGACTACAAGGATTGATTCTGTTTTGTCTCAATTTCCTAACTTAATCTTAGTCATTACTAGAAGTCCAGGCCTCCCTTTATTCACCACTGCCCTGACTTTCATTCCCAAATTGTTCTATACATCTCCTTATCAGCTCCAACCCCCAATCTTAACTCCCTTCCTCTCAATCCTCTCATGAATCTGCTGGAAATGCCAGATTAGTAATTAGCAGACTTTCTTTATGGCAAACCAATCCCTCAAGGTCTTCTACTTCCTTGCCTCACCTAGTTAATGTCCCGAAGACTCCAACCTTCTTTTTGGGTCTACCTCCCCTGACTATCACTGTTGAAACTCTTCAGAGCTATATTCTAAACTATCTTTTCTTTTCACCCTGTATACTCTCCCTGAAGCATTTCATTCATTCAAATAGCTTCATTTACTATCTATATGTTAATAATGGGAGATACGTCTGTATCTGTATGACGTATCTCCCATTTTTTATCTTTTCTACCCTGAGATTCATATATCCAACTGCTCTCTGGACACTTCCATGTAGATAGTGTGCATTGAAAACTAAACTCATATACTGATTTTAAAACATATGTCAAAATAAAGTTAACAAGGATTAAATAAATGTAAAATATTTAGCCAAGTACTAAAAAAAGATGTGATAAATGTTAATATTGCAATGAAGACTTTTAAACTATGATATCAGAAGCCATAAATAAAAGATAGCTCTGATAACATCAAAACAAAAACTCAGTGATACTAACATCATCATAAATAAAACTGAAAGGCAAATGAAAAACTATGGAAAATATGTACATCATCCATAATTTATTGATCACTTTCCTGTCCTATCATATGTATGTATACACTTTCCTATCCTGCATAATAAATACAACCTTTCTAGTAATAGCAGTGCTGTATGTAAGACAGATGCATAATTATGTGCATAATTATGACATAAAATACCATGAATTTCATGATAGCAGAGGGATAACTGCTTATTTGTTTGAATTCTAGAAATTATAGATCAAACTCAAAGGATAACTAAGGAAGCAATTATGCAAAATATTCCCTTAATCTGGGCAAATTTTATCTCCTTTTTCTCCTTTTATAAAACCCATAAATTTTCCTTTTACCTTTCATATTTAGAAACTTGGTAGATTTTTTCCCATAATTCCAATGTATGTTTGTATACCAAACCAAACCAATCAAAAGCCTAGAAAAGTGAAAAATGTAATTTACAGTAGGAGAAAACTCTTAAAATTTAGAAGTAAGACAAGAAAATTTACCCGAGACATTTCAGCTAGGTACCTACAGCGCTCATCATTGGTCTTGCGGTAAGCCTACAGGAAAAAATACAAAAGTAAAGAATTCAACATCAGAGATGATTTGCAATACTAGCAAGGCTATTACTAAGTCAAGTTTATGTCTCTACGCTGTTTTTTAAAATAGTATAAGAAATAGTTTTGTAAGTATTTTGTGATAATAAGTATTGTAAGTATTTTATGTAGGTTTGTAGATAACATACTAAAAGCAATGGCAGTTACTAAGAAATGTCTAGTATAGAATAAAAACAAACCGTTGATTCTTGTTCCAGTCTCAGTGCACAATCTTTCACTTGATTTTCAAGTCTTCTTTTCTCTTTTTCTAGCTGTTTAAGTAATGTATTTAAGTATTCCTGAAAGTATAAATAGTAAAATTTTACATGAACTCATATTCTAAATAATAGTAAGAAATTTCTTCACTGGCAAATGCCTTTACCTCATAACATTCTGTGACTTCAAATTCTATAATATGTACTTTTTAAGTAATAACAATAATAATAATTACAATATCTATTTAACCCTAACAATATTCCAAGTCAGTACTTGTGCTAAGTGCTTTCCACAGATGATTTCATTTAATCCTTATAAAAGCCATGAAGATGGCTAATATATTTATTTCCATTTTACTGTTGAGAAAATTGCATCTATTAGATGTTAAGTAACTGGTCCAAAGACACACAGCTAATAAATGGTAGAACTGGAATTAGAACCCAGGTATTTTGGGGTGCCTGGCTGGCTCAGTCATTGGACCATGAGACTCTGGATCTCAAGCCCCACGTTGGATGTAGAGATTACTCAAAAATGAAATCTTAAAAAAAAAAAAAAAAAAAAAAAAAGACCCAGGTAATCTGACTCCAAAGGCCACACACGCTAAACAATATTATTATATATTTTTCACATGACTGGTACCAGTGTAACAACAGTACAATACAAAAGAACAGACAAATAGTTGATGACCAGGAAAATTAAGAAAATATTGCAGAGTAGGACAGTTCTGGAAACTAAGATCTCAAGCCAAATGTCATTCATCACAAATAACTGGAGCTGAGTAGAGGTTTAGCCAAATGCCAGAAAAATACTGCATTATAGTAATTTGGTTTAAAACTTTAATCCCTAAACCAATAACAAATTATTTGCAGTAACTTCAATTTTTTCTCATATTCTTACACATTACCACATTAACATTAAAAAGTCCTCCAGACTGAATTCTACATAACTCTTGTTGGTCATGATTTAGGTCACTGAAGTTATTAAAAGAAACATTTAAAGAAAAACAGAAGCATCTGATTTAAATCTCCACAAAGCAAAATTGCAAGATATTTTAGAGCTCATTCCCTCCTCCTAAAAAACAGCTAATTCTCTAAAAACTTATTCTCTCCTAGATACTTGTTAATACTTACTAGAATATAAAAAAAACTGTATCAATAGGATAATTAGGTCACTGAAACAGGCAAGTTCTTGTCTCTAAAAATAACATCAGTGATAATACAAATCTCTTGGTTATGACAACTCTCCACTATGCATATTTGATTACCATTAAAACATAATTGGGTGATATTTCACAGGCAGGCCTTATTTGTCTTTGAAAACCATGCACTGGTGTCATAAATGGTTTTCAGTCTCCCTCCCCAAATAAAAATCTGCTCCAGAAGAAAGTCCATGAAAGCCCCACAAATTTAAGAGGTTAAACTGAGTTATCTTATAGAAAATTAAACCCTTATGAAATAAATCACTGCTCAAGTATGAACAGTTTTTGAAGAAATAATCAAGGAGTGATGAAAGTAGTTCAAAATTTTGCTGTATAGACAGACCTTTGCTAGGAGACTTTCTAGCTTAGTGTACCATATATATGGTATATACTATAACCGTAGTAATATGGTTTAGTTATATCATTTGTTAAATACATTTTTATAAATGTAAAAGAGAAAGAACCTACTCATTTTAATATTGTTTCAATGGGAAAATGCACTCTAAGTTTTAAAAGAAATTAGCTTATCAACAAACTACTGGAATACAAGTTATTTTTATATTAAAGATGACCTGAGTGAGATATGACCCAAAACTCTAGAAACTCATAGAAGAAATCATACGAAATAGGTAAAATTCAGGCAGGAGGCCTGCTTCTCCCTCTCCCATTCTCCCTGCTTGTGTTCCTGCTCTCCCTATCTCTGTCAAATAAATAAATAAAATCTTTAAAATCAATCACTCAATCAATCAATCTGCCACCTCCTAAGATCTCCTTCTATATATGTCTTATCCATTCACTTCAATTATAAGCTATCACTTCTCTGATAATAAATATCACATCCAAATCTAAATCTGTGTGCCTATCCTTAACATTTGTTTGACACCTCAAGCTCAGTTTTACCAAAACCACTTTCTACAACTTTACACAACTTATATCCCAATAAACTCAATGTTTTAATGGTACCAAGCATAGATTTCTAATTTTGCAAGGGACATTTGGATTTCATTAAGTGGGAGTATTTTAGGAATTTTGTACATGGGAAGAAGAGTATGGGTTTGTAAGATAGGGTCATGTAAGAGTGAATATGTCAAACAATGAACTATAGGAGTCTTTAAAAAATTTTTTACTGGGGCACCTGGGTGGCTCAGTGGGTTAAAGCCTCTGCCTTCGGCTCAGGTCATGATCCCAGGATCCTGGGATCGAGCCCCGTATCGGGCTCTCTGTTTATCAGGGAGCCTGCTTCCTCCTTTCTCTCTGCTTGCCTCTCTGCCTACTTGTGATTTCTCTCTGTCAAATAAATAAATAAAATCTTAAAAAAAAAAAAATTTTTACTAACAGAGCTCAGGCCTGAGAGCCTACTACATACACTATCTCCCTTCTTAATTCTATAACCAAAAAAATCTTGGCCAAAATGAGAACCATTATAATTAAGCACATTTTTTAAAGCAACATTCTACTTCACTAATAGTTCTTCAATAATTTTGTACTCAAACACTATGAATTATAAAATAGGCTGTATACAAGAGGTCAGCTACCTGTCCTGGTACTTTTATTAGGAATCCCTAAATTAAAAAGTGTTAAGTTGAAAATGGCAACATACTAAAGCTGGGAAAATCTGAGTATCAAATTAGATAATAATGCTAAAAATTATATAAAAGTACATAACATAAAATTATATTATAAAAATCCATAAGTTAATCCTGATCTAATTTTTTCAAGTAAATAAAGAAAAAAGAAAGATTTTCTCCATAGTAGAATGACTAATAAATAGTGAAAGTCATGGACATGATAGTAATTATCAACCAAAAATATCAACAGATGCTAAAATAGTGGATGAAAGTCAATATGGAATGGTATATTTACATGCTGTCAAAATACTTCCCCATAAAATGCCTTCTAATTACAAAGGGAAAAAGAATAACTGCAATGGAGATGCCTGACAGACATCTTCTTAATTAAGTGATTAAAGTTAATGTTAACAATTATGAGGCAAGCTGAAATAACCTCTCAATTGACTGGATGAAATAAGAACACGATTTGACTTATGTGGCATTCTTACAAAAAAATGTATAATTAGCATTTAATCATAAGGACTCATTAAACACACATACTAGGATATTCTACAAAATGTTTAGCAAGGAATCTTTGAAAGTGTCAAGGTTGAAAGTCAAAGAAAATCTGAAAAACTATTTTTTCCCCAGCTTTACTGAGGTCTAACAATTAAAATTGTAAGATGTACAATTACAACGTAAAAGACATAAATTACAACGTAAGACGTAAAATGTACAATGTAATGATTTGAGATAGATAGGTAGGTAGATAGATAGATATTGTGAAAGTCTATTTCCCATCAATGAAAAATTATTTTGATTTAGGTCACTAAAGCGCATGACAACTAAATGCAATATATGATCCCGAATAGGGCCTATTTGTATAAAGAACGTTATTGGGACAACTGTATTAGTCATTAAGTACCGTGGGTCATTAAAAGCAAGATATTCGTAATTATCCATTTAAAAATTATTATAAACATCAGAAATCCTCTAAAATTAAAAAATTATACTATAGTAACTTCAACATTCATTCTAGATTTTCCTTCTTTATTTTACTGACTCCAAAATGAACTATTCTTTAAAAATGGTTTTATCAAGGGTACATATTCTCTCATCCTATCACTTATAATCCATTAGAAGACCCATAACTTAAGCTCTTTCCAAGGAGCTTGTTTTAGCTAATTATATAATCAATGGCCACATACTAGAAAACTATAGCCTGAAAAGACATACTAAAGGCATAGCTCAATTGAAGATTCCCCTGGAAATTAACCAAAAAGAAATTAGGTACATAAAAATTAATTCTTCTCTTATCATACAGGGGTTGCTTTGTTTTGTTTCTGATGTTAATCAGTCCTTAATATTTCACCTACACTCGTGTCTTAATTTGCTTGGAACTTCCCAACAGTACATTGAAACAACAGGGTAAGAATAAGAAATTTCAGGATACTTTTACATACATGAAATCAAACATTCTTAGTTATTGTTTTTTTTTTTTAAGTCCTTTTCTTCTATCCTAAGTAAAAACAAAGCTGTATTAGCCACCTATCTTTTAAGCAATGGTAATTGCTATACTATACTAAAGAGAACATATAAAAACCACAAGTAAAAAAATCACTCTACTGAATGCTTACAAAAGAAAAATAAAATACAATTAATCACAGCTCCTAGATATGCTGTACTTTTTTCAATGAAGACAATTGCAATGAATGAGTACAGCCTTCTGCATGCTTAATACCAAGTGCCCCCTTGTGGACAACATTGTTATTAGATTTATATATAAAATCCGAGTTACTGGTTTTGTGTTTAGAGGCTACACACCTGTGTCCAAACTGACATATGATCTTTGGGGAGAACACAAATCTGGTGATATCTGGGAAAGAATACATCAGGAAGAAGTCTCGGATGGGTTCTACAGATCTACCACTAGCCAGATGGCTAGTGGGAATTCCTCTTCTTGCTTTGTTTCTCTCACATTCTTGAGAATCCAAGATCTCCTCAGTGGGCCTTTCACTATGTGGCTGATATATCACTTAAACACAAATATATTTAGGGGTGTCAATAGTGCTTTAGGCTCACTACTATCAATGTCTGGTTATTGGGTTCTAACTATATACTTATGAATTTTAAAACAAAATTTCTAAGAGTGTTCTTAAGGTAGAAATGACCAGAATGAACCCACCGGAATCATGACCGGATACTGTAGTGAGGTAATAGCTCAATAGAAGGTCCAAACTGGGCTGGATGTTTCCAGGCCCCATGAAGCAGCATAACTAAAAGAAGAATCTGACTCACAATAAGGGAATCACATTCAGGAAAATGGTATGGGGCA